AGATGACAAATATGTAGTCAATAGAAAATGTATCTAATAATTCTATTTGTCAATTAAGTAGTTGTATTTCTTGACCTTGTACAATCCTATTTCTTTATGGATTGACTATTTTTCATGATTCTGTATAAGAGAGATCAAAATTTGATATGAAAATTCTTCATTAGTACACTGGAACAAAGTTTTAAAATCGTTTACATCACAAAAAATATGCTTTCTGCTTTTTTTCTGTTTTTCAGTAATAAAATTTCTGTCATTTTCTGCTTTTTATAAACTATTTTCTGCTTTTTGGACTTCAAAAGGTGGCAACACTGACTTTAACCAGCTCAGAATGCGATACAATAAAAATTTGAAGAAGAGATCTTCACATTTATTGCTATTGAGATTCATGTTATGAGTTAAAGACTAACTAGTTTTGATTAGGAAGTTCAGAAAAAAAATAGCTAAAATCGTGACAAAATCTTTATGATCGTTTTTTTTGTGAGAATCCTCAAAAATTTACACCTATTGAATAACCTACAAAACACAAACTTGCAAAGATTTTAGATCAAGGTTTCGATAGGAGATTCGTATTGTCTTGTAAAGAAGCGAAAATACTTAATTGTAGAAAGTTCGAAATCGATCCGTGATTGAAACTTGACAGCATAATTTTATTTAGAAAGTTTTCTTTACTCATGTTAACATTCTCCGGTGATCTAACTTACCATACTTGACTTGATTCTCTTAACCCTATTAAGTTGAAAATTTGTAATACATTAGAAATGAATTCAGAATAAAAGATTTGATGGTTCATATATTGGTAATTGTTTATGCTACAATGTAAATAGTGACCTTGGCAGATTCTTTAAATATTCTTGAACTTACTTACGACAATTATTGATATTTTTTCAATGACTCTAGTTTATATTGACAGAAATTTTCTCTTTCAAACAAAGACATCAATCAAATCGAATATTTTAACTGTATACAATGGTTCATTCATCGTTAAAACTTAAGTGGGAGAGATTTGTTGGAGTTTTTTTCATCTACTAAAATTCGGACTTACGTATTTTTTATCTAGACTTATCTTATTTAGCACTTCGATTAGCCTTTCTACAAATAATTAAAAACAATCTATTGTTCAGTTCTGTTTAAATTCAATAGATTGGTTCAATATTTACTTGTTTGTTTGAGACACATGAATAAAACAAATATTCAATCCTACTTAAGTGATCAATCGAATTATGGATAGAACGGTTGATTATAGAAAAATTACTCAATAATAAGACCATACTTAACGTATGATGCAAAATTAATGGCACAAAATGCTTTCGAATGGTGTATAATTTATATTTGTCACACATTCGTAAATGAAATGAGGCGAATAAGAAAGAAAAATATTTGCACAACAAATTTGCCATTTTTACAATGAATCTGTCAAAAACGTCTTATGCATGATAGTTAAGTATAATTAACTTTCGTTTTACAAGCTGTTTTAACGAGCTTATAAAAGGGTGAAGTAACTACAGTTTTACAAGAGCTTTTTAATGAGTACGAAAAGATCAAATGAATTATTGTCTAGCAGGATGTTTTTAACGAATTCATATAAAAGTTGCAAATTTATTGCGCCAATGTTTGTCTTTCTTCTTTGTCTCATTTCACTCAGGAATGTATAACGAACATAAATCATACATCGTTCGAAAGAGGAGCAAAAGCTCTATCTGTTGGTAAAAAAACATTTTTGTTTCAGCACATGTCTCTCGAAGAGAAATAAGAATCAACATTTCATACCATTACTTTTGTATCGTACATTATTTTTCAAAGATCTGTTTGAATAATTCGATTATTTTTACTTGCATTCAAATTCTATTATAACTCATTTTATTGTAAAAATAAAACAAGTAGATGAAAAGTTCACTTTTACATATCTATCTTCTAAAATCCAAACAAAAAAAATGAAATAATTTTTAAATTGATGACACAAAATCGAAATATATTTCAAAACTCGAACTAACGGAATCAGTGAATACGTTGGAAAAATTCAATATAAAAGAAAATTTCATTCACTAGAAAATCCGAGTTCATCGCAATTTTTCATAAGTTCATATTGTTTTAGGTTTATTTCTTTTGATAAATGTATTATTTATCTTTTTCCGCCTTACCAGTTAAATCTTAGTTAGTTTTAGTCAAACTAACAATTCTTACACAACATATTTGAAAACGTCAACAATATTTGTTTTCAATATTGAAAAAACCAGATTCTAATCAAGTTCATAAATAAAAAGCTTTTGTAATTGAGACCAGTTCAATGCTGTTTAAAACAAATGAGAATGACTCATTTCAATGAAATTGATGTTTATTTCTACTTCATACTTTTGTTTCATTTTAGTACCACTACGTACAAGTTCTACTGATATTCATCCGAATGCAAAATGGACACAGAATGGTATCACTGTTGCTGGAGGAAATGGACGAGGCAGTGGAATCAATAAACTCTCTCTTCCATGGGGTTTGTACGTCGACGATGATCAAACGATTTATGTCGCTGATCGTGCAAACCACCGTATTATGGAATGGAAATCTGGTGCAACGAATCAAAAAGTGGTTGCTGGTGGATATGGATATGGAAATGGAACTCATCACTTAAGACATCCACTAGATGTGATTATCGATAAAGAGAGAGATAGTCTCATCATCAGCGATTGGAGGAATAGAAGAGTAGTTCGATGGCCTTGTCGAAATGGTACTTGTGGAGAAACAATCATTTCGAATATCGCTTGCATCGGTTTGACAATGGATGAATATGGATCTGTCTATGTCGTTGACGATAGAAAACATGAAGTGAGACGATATAAAATTGGTGATACTAAAGGAACAGTGGTTGCAGGTGGCAATGGAAAAGGAAATCATCGCGATCAACTCTCTAACCCCCGCTGCGTATTTGTTGATCGAGATCATTCTGTATATGTGTCTGATTGGGGAAATCATCGTGTAATGAAATGGAAAGAAGGTGCAAAACAAGGAATTGTCGTAGCCGGTGGTCAAGGAAAAGGAAATAGTCTTACACAACTGTATTATCCTGAAGGAGTCGTTGTCGATCAATTGGGTACTGTCTATGTGGCTGATTGTTCTAATGATCGAATAATGCGTTGGCCAAAAGGAGCCACACAGGGAAGTGTCATTGCTGGTGGGAACGGTCAAGGAGCACGGTCAAATCAACTCAATGGTCCCATTGGTTTATCATTTGATCGACATCGTAATCTCTATGTCGTCGATACGGACAATCATCGAGTACAAAAATTTAATATCGAATGAACTC